ATCAATCTGTATTTTCAGCGAAATCTCGAGTTCCTGATTCTCGCCTCAAAAATGTCAGTTCTCTAGCGCCAGCGGATGAACTAACAGATGAAGAGCTAAAAGGTGAGTAGCTCATCCAAAAAAATTAAAATCCGGGATTTTAGCGTTAGAATCGACGTTCGAGGCGATCGACGTGAAAGAGGCTGCGGAGATTGTCAGCTTTTCGCCCTCGGTTGCCGTGCAGGTAAGAGGTCTACTTATCTGTCATATCCCTTTAAAAATCCAATACAACATCGTTATTACGTTTTACAGCTTCCATCTGGAAAACAAATTTCAACTAAAAATCTATTTTCTGCAATTTTTACGACCTAAAATTAAGTGTAGCAACGGTAGTTGGCGCGGTAGTCTTCCAATTTCTCATTTTTTCACCCTCTCATTCGTCTATTTTTCGTTTCTTTGTTCATCTCATTACAAAACTAATTCTGACTTTTCCAGGTTTTCCTGCGATCGGTAAAACGGGACTCAAGCCGGGCATGCGCTGGGGAAAAAGGAAGTGGCTAAGTTGTACGCTGGCACGACGGCCGGTTAGTTGCTGCATTTTTGGCGTTGCACCCGGTATTTTTAGAATCCTTCGAGGAGGATCTTTGTGCGAAAGCCGGGAAACGGGAAGGCCGAAGCGCTGTGTTCGCAAGGGAAATTTTACGGTGTTTGTTTTTTTAGTTTTACCGTAGAATTGAACGTTTTTACGTATATTTTTGAGGAACGCCCGCCATCCCCTCAACGGCAAAGCCAAAGATGTTGACGCGGTCGAAGCGAGAAGACGCGACGAAGGAATACCTGCCCTGTAACTGCTGCAAATGTACCAGCTTCGCGTGGTTGACCCGGGCCGGCCGGAGGGGAAAACGGTAGCAATTGATTGGTTTATCAACGCAAAAATAGAGCCACTTTTCGGTAAGATAGTTCGCGATTTAGCGTTGTTTTTGCTATTTTTGATGCGAATACCGTGGAAAAGCGCGCTAAAAAGCTCGTTAAGTTTTGTAAAATGTTTTTCATTTGCCTGGATTTTTTAAGGTAATGGAATTTATAACGTCTAGAAAACAAGACGGCGTTATCTATCTTTCGCGAAAACCCCATGGAAACCGCTCTTTTCAGTAAATGTTTGCGTTAGGCGGAATTTTGTAAAATTACGAGTTTTGGCCAGAATTATTCCGATTTTTAGTGTAATCGAGTGCCGAAATATGGACTGCCTGGCCTCGATCGCCTACACCGAATTGGAGGAGGGCGAGCTGCTCGGAGCGCAGGAAGAGGTACATTGTCGCTTTTTCATTTAAATTGACATTTTTCAGGTGGAATACGGCTGGTACCTGCGTGATTGGGAGGAGATCTACTACCCGAAAGTCAACGAGGAGCAACGGTGGATTGGCAGTTTATGGTGAGCTTTTACTATACTTTTTCAAGACGCTTGTGAGGGCTTAGCATGCTGTATTGACCTTTAGAGCGCCCAAATTCATCGATTTCCGCGTCGATTCCTGGACGCATTTTTCTGACTAACACGGCTAGGGTGCTAAAATAGCGTGCCGATTCCGCAAATAGGATCAGAATTTGCAAGTTGCTGCGTTTTCACGTTCAAACAACGTTTCAAATTTTCAAAGCTATTTCTGGAATCGTTAGGCGAGTTAAGCCATTTTAGATTTGTCAATTTTACGGCATGTAATTCACGCGCGCGCAAAAATTCTGCAAGAAAGCATTTTTCTCACCCGGCCATTTTCGGAGCTAAATAAATTTGCTGATCCCTCGTATCGGGTACCGCTTGCATTTTTTTGCGAATTTTGACTTTTTAATCTCTCTAAAACAGTTTTTGTTTGTTATTTTAATCCCTATTTTCAGTGACATTCCCCCTGCAACGGTGACAATTCGTCGAGACGCCGACAATCGTCCCCAAGTCATGGTCCCATTCCAGCGGCAACTCGTCTCGTTGTTGTGAGCCGGTTTTGTTGTTTGATTTTTTGCTTTTTAAATGCTTTGTAATAAATGGTGTTCTTTGAAAATGCGTATTCTTTTATACATTCAAATCGAGGTTTCTTAGGTCCGGGCCAATCTTGGTGTAAAATTGACGTTTTATCATTTCAAAAATTTATCCAAAAAATTCAAAGACCTAGAGCAGCATGGAAAAAACACAAAACGATTAAATATTCACAACTTTGATGGTGGGGGTTTTTAGAAATCTCCTTTTTAATTTAATTTAGTTTTTTTTTGTAGCAATGACAGTTTTTTGGAATTAAATAAATTAGGTTAACTCGTATCCTTTTTTTGAAGATCTTAATCGTTGAAAACTAAATTTTGGGCCAATTAATGATAGTGTTTTTCCCAAAGAATCGCTGCTAGCTTGCCACCTCTAAAAATCAATCGACAAATTTATGCTAATTTTGCGTCTAAAATGGAGAAAATATTGGCGAGAAAATGGCTATGATACCGTACCCCGAGGGAAAGAGCTGTGGCATTTTTTAGAAAGGGATAGAAATTGAGGAAATAATGCGAAAATGGAGAGACGCAGAGAAAAATAGAGCAAAAAATCGTTCATTAGAATAATAATAAAACGAATGGCAGGGTGGAAAGGGGGAATTTTATCACAGACGCAACAGGATAGCAACATAAAGAAAAATTGATAATTTTTAGAATTTTTATTAAACGTAGGCGGCGGTTGTTAGATGAACGAGTTCGGCGTCGGGCTCCTCGTCGTTGATGATCTGGAAAATGGTTGGAATTTTAGATTAGAGAATAGCGATGATTTTTTGCAATTTTCAGCAAAACTACAAGCTACAAAATATAGCTTTTCAATAGCAAATAGGGGAACTTCATGGCGTTTACGATTTTTGTGAATATTCAATTTCTATCAATTTTAAGGTGAAACTATGGAGTAAAAATGCATTTTTTTGATAAAAACTATATGACGTGTACGATTTTTTACATATTCCACCAGGAGATATCTTCCAATTTTCGAGGAAACGCAGCGAATTTTAGCCTTTTTAAAGGGATACCCAATGTTTTGGCAGCAAATATATAGTTATATATTCCGGGCAGTACAAGTGACGCGCGAATTCCGCGCGGTAACGGGGGCCCATTGCCGCACAAAAATCCGGACCCTTTCCCTCTTGTGGCGTCCCCATGCCGCCCAATGGCTTGCCACTATGGCCTAATGGATAGCATCCAGGCCTACAAAACGGGGTTCCCGGGTTCGACCCCCACCCGCGACATGGTTTTTGCTTTTTGACTCTCGGAAAGGTTGGGCATCCCTTTAAGTATCAGGTTGGTAGATAAGTCCTGTCACAATTTTTTGAAATCGCTCTATGAAGCCACTGAAACATCCAATTTGGGCTTTCGATACATGATTTGATAGGTCTTCGGACGCTCTACCTCAGCATGACCCTCCTAGGACCCCAAAGTCGCTGGTCACCGAGATACAGCTTCGAAAAGTTTCGCTCAAAATCAAGTCACAGCTGAGCGAGTTATCTCTGCATAGAACAATTTGCATGCGATGCTTTAACACCAATCGATAGCTCGAGGAGTAGATATCGATAGATGTTGAGATCATGAAAAACGGACATCAGAGGCCGAGATAAGACCCTTGAAATTTAGCCCATTTCTTAGAACTTTTCCCCAAATCCCATACATTTTGCACATTTGGGCCAAACTTTGCCGCCTTGTTTTTGCACGCACCGAGAAGATTTTGTCAAAATGTATGGGATTTCGAGAAAAGTTCTAAGAAATGGGCCAAATTTCAAGGGGTCGTATCTCGGCCATCTGATGTCCGTTTTTGATGATCTCAACATCTATCGATTTCTACTCCTCGAGAGCTATCGATTGGTGTTAAAGGTATCGCATGCAAATTGCTCTATGCAGAGATAACTCGCTAAAACGCTTTTGCGTAATTATTCAAAAATTTTCAAGGACCGTTATCTCGGCGACTAACAATTTCCAGACCCTATCCGACTGCCCCCACGGTAGAGCATCTCAAGACCTATCAAATCATGTATCGCAAGTGAAAATTGGACGTTTCTGCGGCTTTATAGAGCTATTTCAAAAATTTGTGACAGGACTTATCTACCAACCTGATAGTTTCCAGGCTGTCATTAGCAATCAAGGCTTTCGACGTTTTAAAACGATTAAAACTAGTGATTTTGTTTTACTAAATAAAAATAAAAAATTATCTATCGAAATAGGGGATTTTTCGATAATTAGAAGTTTCTATTTTCGAACGCCTATAAACTCAGTAAAAAGTTTTTCGGTATTTAAAATGATAGTTATTTAAATAAGAATGTTTGAAATGAAAAAAAATCCGTTTTAAGAGATGATCATTTAGCTTAAAGGATGCTTTTATAATTATTTACCTTTGTAGCATAAATAGCGGGTGTCCTGGGCGTGTCCCCATTACTTTCTTTCGCATATAATTGAGGGCTTCTCCTCGCTGGGCCGGGGCTTTTCTCCGGGGTCGTCCCCTTTTCGCCTTCGCCTTTCTAAAAAGGTATTTTTAGGTCAAAAATGACCGCAAATTGTCTTTTACAAGGTTGCCCGTATCGAAATCGAGCTTGGGATCGTTTCTCCATAAATGCTCTCTGATTGCTTGCCTTTCGGCTGGAAAAGCGGATCGCTAAAAACGTACATTTTTGAATATACTGAGCCTCTTCTTGGCCGGCTCTTTCTGGTGTGCATCTGCCATTTGTTCTTCTCCGCAATAGACACCGGATGCGACGCCTTGGCCACTTCTTCGTCGGACACCAACCGCTACAAATTAGCTAATTTTGTTTTTAGAGATTTTCGGACTTTTAAAGCCGTTGATAAGGCCAAAAATCGACCCCTTCCATCAACTAGGTCTCGACAATCACGCGATACCCCTCATGACAGGTTGAAAAAAGCGTTTTTGCACTTTTTTGCAATTTCCCGTTTCTGGTCTTTATAAAAATGTGTTTTAACGTGTCAATAGACTTGTTGCGTAGCTGTCTAGACCTAGGTGGTCGTGGGTCGATTCTGACACTTCACATGCCCTTTAAAAGCTTACATTGTGGTCCTTTCACGGGCGGCTTTTGCTCCTTTGGACTTTCCGTTTCTTTATTTGTGACGGCTGCCGAGGCTTTTCGAAGGAATTTCGTCAATCCGAGGCTGTGCTCACCCTGGAATCGTGGAATTTTCATGGCTGATCTCTCTCTCTCTCTCTCTCTCTCTCTCTCTCTCTCTCTGTCTCTCTTACACTCTCTCGCACGCTCTCTCCTTCACACACACTCCCTCACGCTCTCTCTGTCTCTCTCCCTCTCTCTCTCGCTTTCTCTCTCTTGCGCTCTCTCTCTCTCTTTACCTTCAATCTCGATCTCTCGGCCTCACTCGTGATTTCACAATACGAAATGTCTCCATGTTGATGGTACTGTAGGAGGGCATTCTGCTCGAAGGAGATTGTATTCAACGGGTCTCGCCAATTCGTTCGCGGCTCTTTCGCAAGCTGACGTTCTAAAATTTGGCATTTTATACCTAAATGACTTTAGTAACTTGAATAAATTTAAATCGCATTAAAATCCAAAAGAAATAGTGTTTGCGCTAGCGCTATAATAACAAACCAGAATTTTGGCTCTGAGATACTGTAAAAATCTTAGGAATGCGTAAAATTTATTGGAAATTATATAAATATCCTAGAATTGATTAAATCACTTTCATTTTGTTTCGAAATAAAATATCTGGTTGCTTTGGCTTTTTGATACCTTGAAATTGTGCCTGCGACATGACGGTGAGGGTTCTCGAGCCGATTTGCACGAGCGGGATGGAGAGGCGACTGAAAAAGTTCATAGATTTTGATTTTTAAAGGGAGTCTCACAGCAAATTTCTGGATTTTTTGACGACTTACCTAATCTGCTCTAAAGTCCCTCCAATAACAACGACAGCCTGCGTGATATCGATCGAATATTTCGCTAATAGCGGTCGCAAGGCGGCGGCAGTTGAGAGGGATTGACGGGCACGGAGGAGCACGATTCTGAAAATGGAGTGTTTTTAGGTGCATTTTGTAGTTTGTTGCAAATTTTCGAAAACTTCAAGAGCCCGAAAGTGCGTGAATCGACCCTTTCTCTCGACTAGGTTTAGACAGCTACGCGACGTGCCAAATTCCGCGTACAGTCTCGTTTTTCTCGTCATTTCGCCTCTCGAGTAGCTTTCTAGACCTAGCCAACAATTTTGTTTTCCGCGCTTTCTGGCCCATTTAAAAAAATTGTATTTTGTGGCCTGTAGCGCAGTTTGTAATTTGGAAGGAAACACACTTTGCCGGCGTGGATTGTGGGCTTTTGAAGTTGAAATTATTGGGGAGAAGCTCGACGGCGAATGTCACCACGGCCACGATACGGACGAAACGATTCTGCAGGGCGTCGATCGCTTGACGGCATGGGTCGATTGTGCAGGAAGTCTGAAAAATTAGAGTAAAAATGGATAGTGAAAACCCATATAATTTTAGGGTAACTAGCGGTTCTTGTGAAAATGACAAAGGCAAGCTAGCAGAGATTGTTGGGGTCATGAAAAATCTGAAAAAATCAAAGACGGACTAGCGGAGATTCTTGGCAAAAAATGCCTAGAATTTGAGGCGAGCTAGCCAAGATTCTTTAAGAAAAATTTCTGAACCGCAGGCGAGCTAGAAAAGATTTCTTTAAGAACAAAAAAAAGAAACATAACTGAATTTTTAGGATCGCAGGGCAAGCTAGCGGAGATTCTTTCGGAAATTTTGACATTACAGGTCAGATTTAGGGGGAAACTAGCAGAGATTCTTTCGGAAAAATACCTTGAAGTCGAGGCAAGCTAGCAGAGATTCTTTGGGAAATTTGGACCTTATGGTCTAAACGCAGGCTACCGAAGATACTTTAGGAAAATTAAAACCATCAAAATACCTGTGCATCCACAGCCTCACAAGATTTCTGATCCAACCCCAGTTTCGCGGCCATCGTTTGTGTCCATTTGGCTACGGAGAAGCTCTGGAAAATGTTAGATGCTCTAAAAAACTTTGAATTCGCCTACCGGATCATCCAGCTCGACGGTTTCCGATGATAGTGAATCTCCACTCATCAATGTGCAGAATTTGATCACTTTCGGCGCCACTTTATTCGGACCGTGCATCTGAAAGGGGAGACGTTGTAAAGGGACCGGTGTTTTTAGTTGTTTTCCTTTATTACGTGACTTTAACATGTGTCTTAGTTCGTCAAAAAAGTTTTCATTGAAATTTTCGCTTGAGAAAAGCCCCAATTCACGCATTTCTCTAAAAAGCTTTAGAGCTTTCTTTCAGGATTTTGTGACCAAAATAACCTATTTCATTTCGTCAATTCGAAAAGGCAATTTCTTTTTAGTTGCACAGTTTTTTAAGGCAATTTTAAGCTATTTAGCTTTACAAAATTCGTTCAGTTCTAAAGATGACCGAGAAAACGCATCGTTTTTAGTCCTATTAATTTTATATTCTTGTTGGCATGCTGTGCTGGAGACCACGTTGCTCTAACCCCACGACACCGAAAAATAATATTCGCAAAAAGCAGCTCCCGTCCGTTCCAGCCATAGCAAATCTCCCAAAAAAACGAAATGTGCGGTTGCAGAAATGAAAAATAGGTGCAGTGCAGTTGGTAGCAAATCACTTTATTGTGACACGATACGACAACCAGAAAATAGAAATGAAAAGAAAAGGAAAGACAGTGGGGAGAGCAACTAAAAACTAAAAATAACTATGCGGGTCGATACGATAAATTTTGTAGTTTTGAACTTTTCCCCTGTCAATCAGAATGCGATTCTTTGCTAAACTGTCCGCTTACGGTATCGAAATCAATCAGGCTAATTTCCACGTTTTTGCGACAATTAGACGTTTTAAATTGCTTTAGAAAGGCCCTTCTGCTGTTTCTAGATAAAATGGCAGCCACTAAAGCTAAATCGCGCTATCAATCACCGATTACCACTTGAAACCATGACAATACCTTGCTGGCACCGTCCCTTTAACACATCTATTCGATTTCGCTATGCAATTCATGTACCGTCAAAAACGACGTTTCGAATCAAACGAATATCCACGAAAAAGCCTTCCTGTCGCCACCCTTTTAAAATACCCGAAAATCCAAAAATACATCCACAAATTATAATTTTATTCCACCATGCCCGCGCATCCACCCGACAACAACAACGACCACACACAAAACGCACGACATCCAGAAGAAATCCCGATAATCGAAAGAATTTTGACAGGATAGATGGTAGAAATTGTGGGTGTTGTGACGGAGATAGACCGCGAAAAGTGGGGAGAGGACAGAGAAAAAGAGGGAGGGGGAAGGAAATGGGCAGCATGCCAACGAAAATATATATGTGTAGCCTGTAGTCCCGCCACACACCACAACAACAACGTAAAAAACGAAATCTGGTTTTTTTTTTTCGAAAAAACTGAAAAATGAAAAATAGGAAATTGTGAAAAGACAGCACGAAGCGATAGAGAAAGAGAGACAGCCAGAAGAAACACACCACGACACCAACGAGGAAAAATAATATATACTTTTTGGGGGAGTGGAATATTATTCATGCCAATGGGGGAGGTAGCTCTACGAACTAACAAGGGAAGTGCATATAGTTAAGCTGGCTTTTTGACACGGGACCAAGTGGATTTGGGGTAATCGACCATGCTGAGAATGATGGCGCTTTTAGAAAAACCGGAAGAGCCTTCGTTTTCCGGATATTCCGCTTGAAAGATTTTTGCCGAAAATCACGGTCCGGAAGGGGCTGGCTCACTATTTTGGACAGGCCTCATGAACCCTTCCCAGAGCCCCCTTCCCATCGGCTTGGCGGCGCAGTGGTAGTGCGCCGGAGCTACCAGGCGGGGGGTCTAGGGTTCGAGTCCGGCCACCGTCACGATTTTTTGCTTTTTCCTTTTTCGGAACAATATGGTCCTACTGACGGAGAAATTCTGTGCGGCGACGAATTGGTGAGTAGAATGCATCGTTTTTTTACCTAAAATCCAAATGTTTATCAAGTTTTTCCAATTTTTCCGCTTTTTTTTTCTTTAAATCGCCGAAAAACCTTTGTTTCTGCTGTTTCGATTCGTCCATGTATAGCATAACTCATATTTTTCAGATATGGATATCAACCCGCATCTGGTTGTGGCGGAGCTTGCCAAACGCTTTCCACCCCCAGCAGACCAGCAACAACCAACAGGCACCAAATCGCGAGGAGATCCGTCTGGTGGGCACGATTTCGATGTTACTGTCGGCTGCCCAAGACGGGCAAATGACCTACGATGAGGATTACTTTGATGCCCTCGACGCGGGAAGAAGACAAAACATGGGATCCGAATGATGGATGGAGGGCGTGGAGCAGATCGACGATGATCCAAAGTATGTGTTTTTTTCGGGTACCAGAGTTCCCTGCGAGCGGGTTCAAGACGCGCTAAATTATTACCGGAGCCCGAAGCAAAAATTCCGAACTTTGGCATCAATGCATGAACGTTATGCGTTTATCAAAACCGGAACCACCTGACAAAGCTGCGCGATTTTGAAGAGGCGGGAATAGTAAGGGCTTCAAGACGTGCGAACCTTGCCAAGTTGGTTGAACTTTTGGCCGCTTCAACCCAAAAAAGCTGGAGGACGGCATCATTTTGCACGATGTGGACATACAAAGTGACGCCTTGAGGATTAACCGGGAGAAGGATTTGGTCATCAATTTCAAGGCTTCGAGTCGTTGGATTCAAAAGTTCAAAGGGGAGTATTGGGATTGTATCGCGGAAGATTACCTCTTTCGTCACAACGCGAGCACTCTCGGAAAAGATGAAGAAAAGGCGAAAGAAGCAGCCGAATTCGTCAAAGTCGTGAAAGATCGTCTTGCGGCAGGATTGTCGTTATCACATTTGGCGAATGCGGACCAGTCAGCGTTCAATAAAGAACAGTATACGGCGCGATCACTTGCCTTCATGGGTGAAAAGAAGACGATTAGACGCGTCCAGGCAAGCTCCTCCTTGACCCATTCATTTACGGTACTGCCCATTATCTATGGTGATGGGAAACTCGGTGACAAGCTGTTTATCAATTTGCAAGAAAGGAACGGGGTCCTACCTCCCAATCATTTCAAGGCTGACAACCTAGTTGTCAGGGCTGGAAAAAGCCACATCATGACGAAGGATTCTTTGAAGGAATGGGTTACCTCGTGCATAGCCAACTCTTCAAGTGCAACCATCGAGGTATTTTTGTTAGACCACTGGGGTGGATTCCGTGATCACGCGCTCATCAATTCCTGGTGCCGACCGTCATCGAGATTTTACAAATACCCGCCGGGACAACAGGCCTCATCCAGCCTTTGGATTGCTATGTGTTTGGACCTTTGAAAGGGTTGGTCAAAAGGATCCATATACACATAATTTGCGAAGAACTGCCCTTTTCGATCTTCAAGAGAGATAATATCTTACGCCTAATGTCGCAAGTTTACTGGATTATGTGCGCACCAGTCTTCGTCGAATTCTTCCAATACTCTTGGTACAAAGGCGGATACGTAGAGGATCACCCCGGGCCTTTCAAGACGCCGGTTCAGCGATGTTTGTCTCCCGACAATGCTTCCCATTCTTGCAAATCCTGCCCACGATCCGGATTCATTCTCTGTCCCTATTGCCGTGAGGTGTACTGCTTTGACTGTTTTGTTGTAGATTTTCATCGTTGTTGTTGAAACTCCCTCAATAGACCATTTTAATATTTGTTCTGGTCAACTAGCTGCTCTTTTTATTGTTGTTACTGTCGGTGTTTGTTTTATAAAAAAATTCCAAAAAAGTTGCCTATAACCCAAATCCCTTGACTCGCGGGGAGATCGCTAGGATCTCCCATCAAGGGGCAAAAAGCAAAAAATCGTGACGGTGGCCGGACTCGAACCCTAGCCCCCCGCCTGGTAGCTCCGGCGCACTACCACTGCGCCGCCAAGCCGATGGGAAGGGGGCTCTGGGAAGGGTTCATGAGGCCTGTCCAAAATAGTGAGCCAGCCCCTTCCGGACCGTGATTTTCGGCAAAAATCTTTCAAGCGGAATATCCGGAAAACGAAGGCTCTTCCGGTTTTTCTAAAAGCGCCATCATTCTCAGCATGGTCGATTACCCCAAATCCACTTGGTCCCGTGTCAAAAAGCCAGCTTAACTATATGCACTTCCCTTGTAAGGGAGAGGCGGAAAACCGGAAACGGACCGGAAAAAGGGTTGAAAAGCTCAATTTTGGTAGTTTGGAGCCTAGTTTTAGCCATTTTGTAGTTTGTGGCTTAAGAGATTAAATTAAAAGCCGATTTTAGCTAAACTGGACGCCAGAAAAGCTAAAAATCGACGAATTTTGTCGTTAGGAGCCAAACGGAAAGTTTGTCGCTTGTAATTTATGACAAAAACCATAAACAAAACTACTGTTATAGTTTGTAGCCTAAAAATTGGGCTAACAAGCTGCAAAAAAAAACCAATTTTTAGTCTATGCCAAAAATCACAAAGAGTGATTTTGTCGCCTGTAGCCGCAAATTTCTAGCCAAAAAAAAATTAAAAACAAAGCTGTAGCATCAAATTCATGGGTCAAAAAACGTTAAAAATCGATTTTGTAGCTTGTCGTTTAGCTAAAAAAATATAAAAACCAAACTTTGAGCTTCAAAAACCCTTTCCAAATCAATTTCCGGTCCGCGCTATCCGCTGCACGCACTAATAAATATAGGTAAGAGCGGGGTCATGCTCGGGGATTGACAGCAGAAATGTGCGCAGGCGTTTCGGGGTCAGCGTGCGCGTCTTCAGACTCGACGACCGGGTCACCGGACGGGAAGACCGAGGAGGGGGAGGAGGAGGAGCGGAAGAACGGACGACAGGATCGAACTGAGGAGTGCGAACCTCGACGGGCATTGAGATCTGCTTGTCGCGGGTGAAGAGATGGCGACGACGAGAGCCCACGGAAGAGACGCCCGCCTTCCCGCAACCACCCACTTCGTCCTCCAGCTCCGAGCTGAAACTGCAACATTAACATAATTTTCGTAGAATCGTAAAAACAAGCCTTTTTCTCATTATCTTATTCTCATCAAACTTCCAATAAATTCCAGTAAGTTTCCAGTAAAATTTCAAGTCAATTGACGTAAAAAGATTTTAGAAAAATGCGTATAAAATTGTGCTAATAAAAAAATCCGGTTCTTTGGCCTTATCGTGGGGGGAACACGTTTTTCTGGATCAAATTTTTCTATTAAAAATACAGGAACTTCTAAACGGCTTTCTACTATTCAAAAACGCAAAAAACTTTACAAATTTCTATTTCAGAATCCAAAAATGTAATTTTCCGGTGAAAAATGCCCGATTTTCGACCAAAATTTGAATTTTTAAAATTTTGGGAGTTTTTTTAGCTAATTTTCCCTTGGAAATATAGCCAAATTTCACTAAAAGTCTATTGAAAGAAAGTCTAGACTTATAGGGAAATAAATAAGTCCCCCCTGATAATGCAAAAACACCAGAAAAAAATCACATTTTGATCAGAATTTGTAATTTTTTATGCCAAAACTAGTTAGAAACCATGTAAACACCTTCTTTATTCATTCAAATATAGAAAAATTTAAACCATAGTGTACGCCGAAACGTGAAGCGGGGAAATTATAAAAATTCTAACTACCTGTAGCTCTTCCTGCGATCCTCACTCGACGATCCGGCCCTCGACGAAGATGTGCGATGGATGGCCGGATGGCGCTGCTCATTGACAGGAGATCCAGCGCCCGAACTCCTCGTCCCGTCCTTTCCACCCTTCATAAAGCGGAAACGCTCGAAGAACGCCGACCGGCGCTTGTCTTTTGTCTAAAAAATCACAATAATGAAGAAATTAGAGTCATAAACTCACCGAATTATTTGGGCTATCCGGCTTGAATGCCAAGAAAGGCCATTTGCCCTTTTCCTTGGTGCTGCTCGGGCCGGCGGCTTCATCGTGGTCGGGGCGGGCTGAAAATGAGAATTAAAAATGTTATTTGGATGACAAATAAACGAAAATATCGATAAAATTTACCAGAATCCTTTCGGCCCTCCTCGTCGGCGAGTTCCTCATCGCTGAACTCGGGCGCCACTCCCCCGGCTCTCAAGTACCGTGGCCAACAGTCGTATTTCAGCAGGTGGAAGATCTGAAAATGATTAATACATATTTTATTCTGTTTATTAAACAAAAAAGAAGTCAAGACCGTGAAAAACTATCAAAAATACGTGTAAAACGTCAAATACACATCAAAATACGCTTTTCGATAAAATTTAGGCCAGAAAAATCATTTCTTGATCTTCCAAAAACCGACCTGATATTGCGCGACATCATAAACGTGCCGACTGTAATTCTGGTCCTGGATGTACTCGCGAATCTTTTTGCTCGTGCTGTTGTCCACGTTCACCTAGAAAAGAGGGTAAATCTTGAAACCCGAGAAAAACGGACCGGCTCCATCGAATTTGGGGCAAAGTGGCGCTCGTAGATGCGGCGCGCGACGAGCTCACGGTTTTCAATCTGGAAAAGGTTATAATTACTCGTTAATACGCAATCAATAGCTTTAAAAGCGATAGAAAACTTTCCAACTTCTAAAAACCGGAAAAACCGTCCAAAGGAGGTTTTCCTTGCGGAAATCACGTTTTTTTTTGTCTCTTGGCAAGCTAGCGGTTCCGAAATTCGGTTTCTAAGTAAATTTTAGTTTTGAAAATGTGTTGAAAAACCGCATAGCTTATAAAAATCCAAAAAAACTATTCAAAAAGGCTATATTCGCGATAATCGTTCTTTTTCAAGGTGTTTTACGCAAAATAAAGGCTTTTTGGCTGTTCTACGGCTTCAAAAACTGAATTTAAACCCCTTACCGCAGCCCGGGACGTCGAATCATGGGGCAAATCGTGGAACTGCTCGACGGCCACGTAGAAATTCAGGTTTTCGGCGCAGAATTGCTGCTCGAGAAAGTGCTGGAAGGGCTTCCGGAGGGCCGGGTCGCGCAGCACACGCTTGAACACCTAAAGCATCAATTAGTAACTTGAAAACTGAGAAAAACCACTAAAAATCGAGCAAAACCGACGAACCTTCATCTCGCGGCTGGAGTTCGTCTCCATGACACCGCCGCAGAATGGCGGAATACCCATGCCTTCCTGTAACAAAATAATGAATATTTATTTCTTTATTATTGCTTTGTAAAAATAGAAAGTTTTAGGGGAGGAATTTTAATAAAAAGGGAGGAAAGCCTAGAAGATTTTTGAGGCCGGTTTTTCGACCGATTACGCGATGAAAAGGAGTACAGTAACCCTCTATCCACGAAATAAAGTTTCAAAAAGGCTAATCGATTCAATTTTTCGATAAAAACTTTGTAAAAAGTAGTTTTTAATCGATTACGCGATGAAACGCGCTACAGTAAGTATTTATCCACGAAATAAAGTTGCCGAAAATAGATATGGGCTCGTTTTTGGCCAAAAAAGTCGTGAAAACGTTAATTTCCCAGTTTTGAATGGGTTTTAAACCTTTTTTATATTATTTTACATAGTATGAATAGTCCTTACCATTTCGGCAGTGGCCGATGTGCAGGGTAATTGCTGTGTGCCCGTATTTTCCTTGTCAAAGTCGTCTCTCATTCTCTCGTCTTCAGTATTGTTGAGAGTGGCTGTTGTCTTGGCTGCTGCTTCTTCTTCTAAATGCCGATCCCTTCTCGCATCACTCCAATCCGATGATTCCGCGTCTAAACCAGCAGTTTTTAGTGAGTTTTTCACAGTTTTATTGGATTTTAAAGATGCTTGAGGTTATTATAACTTTTAAAACTATCGGTTCTCGGTTATTCTGAGCTAATTTTGAGTAGGTTTTTAATGGTTTTTGATCGATTTTGAAGAACCTTGAGCTTCGTTTTACTTTTAAAACGGTGAATTTTACCTGTAAAAGCCTCGTAGAAGGACTCGGAGGTGGCGGTGGTGGTGTTGGAATTGTCGATGGACTGATCGAAGGTTGTTGCGTATCGTTTGACAAAGGCACACTCGCTCTCCGCGACTGAGTCCCGCTGAAAAATCGGCGGTTAGAAACGGCTTTTGGTGGAATTCGCCGAAGTTTTCGAGGCGGAAAATGGGGCGTAGAATTTTTGAGGAGAAAGATTTGGATTCGGCGGCGAATCCGGAAGGTGAATATGAAGTTTTAGGGGTATTTTTGGCCTTAAAAATGACAGAAAATCAGCTATTTTTTAAAAAGAAACCATAGCAGTAAGAAATTGATAGGTTAAAAATGAATTTAGGCCAACTGCCAGTCAGTTTTTAAGGTTTTATGATTAGACTTGAAAAATTGGCATAGCAAGGATGGAAAAACGTGGAAATCGCGGATTCCAGGATATTTTTGGACTTGGTAACGTAAAAAAAGCCAAAAATCAGTGTTTTGTACGGAATTTTAAAGAAACTTGTCAGTAAGGAATTTTAGCGGAATTAAGATCTTCTAAACTAGGCGAACTGCCAGCCAATTTTGCAAATCCTATGGTTGGAATATCGCAATTAGCACGCAAAAGCATAGTACAAATAAAATGAACAACTCCCGATCGGGAATTTTTGAGTTGTGATCGCCTATTTATGGGCCGTTGGCGCTGGGTCAACATTATTTTATCAAAAAAGGGCTAACTGGGGGGTGAGCAACTAGTCGCTAAAAATGGAACGGTCGACAGCAAAATGCCGCCAAAAGTGGACCCCAGCCCCTCGTAAAAACATTGTGAAAACATCAAGTGAACACGCGGGGTGCATTGTATTGGATGAACCCCCAAAAATATTGACAATTGGCGGGGAATTATCAGATGGCTGCCCGGAACTGTTCTGCTAATGAATTGGCGGTCAGTTAAAGGGATGGCGTAATCAGAAAACGCTCAATCCTGCTAATTACTGTAAAATCGGCTTCATACCGTCTAAAACTGTTTACTGGCCGCCAGATCGCTGTTTAAAACGTTAAAAAAATTATTTTCAGGTGCTTTTGCATTATCGGGGGGTGAGTTTTTCGGGATTTTTACCGGGGAACCTGCTTTTTCAAAAAAAAAATAGTGGAAGTGTTTTTTAGCTGTTTTTTACCATTCTAAGCCGTAAAAACTTTACAAACTTCTATTACGAGATACAAAAAAAGCGATTTATGTATGCCTGCCAAATATCAAAAAATCGCCAAATTCCTAACTGTCCCGCCCCCTTTAAAAGTGCTAATTGCGGTTCGCGAGAATGTGTGTGTTGGTTGGATGACATTCGGGTTGAGTGTTGGTGGACGAGGCGAGAGAGAGAGGGAGAGAGAGAGAGAGAGAGAGAGAGAGAGAGAGAGAGAGAGAGAGAGAGAAAGAGAGAGATACAGGGGGCTAGAGAAAGCGACAGTCGAATACTAGGTGTGGATGGCAGAGTCAACAATTCTGAAATGAGAGGAACACAGCTCCCCCTCACCAACTCTCGCGAGAATCGATTTGTAACCGAGATTTTTGACAGTTCTCGATGTCGATGAGCACCGCAAATCGGTCACTGGCAGCCAGAAAACCGAATTTTAGCGGTAAAATTTTTTTCGGCTTTAAAATCGGATTAACTGGCATCCAAAGGTGAAAAACGTGTTCAAAAAAATTTATAAAATTTATATCGAAATTTTCGAGGTTAATAATGCACAATTGGCAGTCAGATAGCATTCAGATACCTTAAAAATTGAGCTATCTCAATCCCTTTAAAAGTTTTTTTCTGGAATCAGCTGCTCAATTTGGTCGATTAGATGTCAGTTTAATTAAAAACGCCCTTAAAAAGCTATCTGGCCGGCTCCCTTTAAAATCAACTTCAGAGCGAGGTAAAATGTGTGTCAGTTTGGCCAAAAAGTCCCAGAAATAATCCAGATACTGGTAAAAATCAAATTTTAGCGTGAAATCGTAGATGTTGCATGTCAGAATAGGTAGACAAACGGTCAGTTAAAATCCAGGAAAAGTCACGATCCCAAAAAAGCCGAAAATGGCAATCAGACAGCGGCATTTTGCCGGGCGGGCGGATGGCCAAAATGAGAGAAGGGAAGGGCCTCTATAAGGGAATGGAAAAAGAGAGGAGAAGCGGAAGAGAAGAGAAAGAGAAGAGAAGGGCCAACCAGCACACATAGCCCGAGGCTATTGGAAAGGAGAAGCAGCAGAAGGAGGGGGTGCGAAATCAAATTTGAAAGGGAGAAGGGAGCGTCTCTCTCTCTCTCTCTCTCTCTCTCTCGCTCTCTATTCCATTCCATTCCTCTTCACACTCCCTTTTTTGAGGCTAGAAAGAGCCTCGCTCCTCCTCCTCCTCATTCACTTCTCAACACATCCCCATTCAGGGGCCCACGGGGAGAGGGGGAGATGGCCCACACGGCCCAATGATTCCACCCCCAAGGCTCAAACTTAAATGGCCCTTAAACCTTTTGGGAATTGGATTTTTTAGTCTGCATCTCCTTTAGCGATATAATCATCAAACCATCAAAATTAGCCATTTTAAAGGAACTGTCAAGTCATGGCGGGGTCTCGGCTGAACCGAATGACTCAAAATTCACCGGCCGTTGAAAATTTTTGAGAATTGGAAGGTGTAAACTCGATGACAGTTAAGCCCAAGAAACCCTTGAAAAAACGAAATCTGCCATTTTGAAGGGACTGTGAGGGTAAATCAAGTGTGAAAAGCGCTGGTCATTGATTAACCGGGAGAGGCCCAAAGTTAAACGTCCTTTTAAACTTTTAAATCGATGATTCCGTAATATGGATAGCAGTTTAGTTAATTGACTGGTTTCATTATGAGAATCAGCTTTTTCAAGTCCTGTGAAGGCAAAAACCTCCAAAAAATTGCAATCTGCCTGTCAGAGAAGCCAAAAAAATGCCGCGAATCCATAGTTCAAAAAGTTTTTGGTGCGAATTCCAGCGAGACGACGACGTTCCCAGACCGAACATTTAGTCGTGGTTGAATTATGGGGAAGAGAGTGAGAGAGAGAGAGAGAGAGAGAGAGAGAGAGAGAGCGAGATGAGAGAATTCCATGGCAACTCGATGGCTGGGAAAGGGATCGTGGTGGATATATTGGAACGCACGGCGCGGGTCTCAAAATAAATTCTAGCACTCAAAATACAACTGGAAAACAACGAAAAAAGCTATACAAATCTAATAAATTTTTAAAAACTTAGAATTTTTTCTAAACTGACTAAAAAGTGATCTAAAAGTCAGAAAATTTAAGCCGTCGTCATAATTTTATTTAATTAGAGCAGGCATTTTTGACATCGACATTTTTTCGTTACAAAGAAATTGGACTTAACAGTTTAAATTAGCAAGGAAATCCAAAAATTAGTTTTTTTTTCGAAATTTCATCGGCTTTAAAAATTAATTTTCACTTTTAAAAAGTTCAGTGATTTTAAAGCTAATTAAACTTTTAAAGTAATAAACTGGTATCGATTTTGCCCAGTCAAATTCTTTTCAAAAGGTTTTTAAAAATTTTACAAAATCAAAAATCTGTTAAAAATCTAAATTTAGCTTTTTTGGATTTTGGTGATTTTCCCGTATTTTTCTATTGATCTAAACTTTTCAATCACCGTACTATTTGCCGGTTTAAGCATTTAAATAATTGTCAGCGAGACCTCTGCATGAATGAATGAAACGTGAGAGAATTGGGGGGGGGGTGGAAATGAGAAGCCGTTGCGGGACCACCCAGGGAGATGGACAGACAGACAGACAGAAGGGGGACGGGGCACAAACCAATATATGAGGCCAATTTTGGCCAATTCTCTCGCCATCAAAAAGAAGAGAAAGAGGGCCAGCAGCCACACAAAACATCTCATCAACCACATCTCCCCCTGCTATGCCTTCTTGGGTGGTCTCGACACGAAGAAGGGCTCAACGAGAGGAATCCACGGGATGAAGCCAATATTGAGGAGGGGCCAGAAGCTGGGCGGCATTGGTCACTTTTACGCAAAGAATCTATGCTGGTTTGCCCTGGCTGAATTTCGCGAATTTCCTAAAGAATCTATGCCAATTTCACCTGCTGGTCGTCAAAAATTTTCCTAAGGAATCTATGCTAGCTCGCCCCGTGACTGAAACTAGAAACCCAGCAAAAAGCTAGTAGGGAAAATTCAAGAAAAATTTTGGGTAGGCTAGCAGAAAATCATTGAGGAAATGTAGCTGATAATGGGCATCTTTCCGCAAGGAATCTATTTCAGCTTGCCCCAGGCTTGTTTTGGCAAAAATTCCCTAGGGAGTCAAGGCTAGTTTGCACTGCTCCTTGGTGGAAAATTTTCCTAAAGAATCTTTGCTAGGCCCCACGATTCGTTTTTAGCAAAAAATGGTACAGAATCTCTGCTAGCTGGCTTTGCACCCGGAACAAGGCGTATTTAGACAATGACCAAAGGCAAGCTAGCAGAGACAATTTAAGTAGAAGGAATACATGGTGGGCAAGCAGAGATTCGTGCGGAACAACTAGCAGATTTTCGTCAGGAAACTCAATGCCGGCCGCCGCCCGGCGGGCGGACTAGCAAGATTTTTTGAGGAAAGTTAATTCAGACGGGGTAGGCTAGCAAAGATTCTTTGAGAAACAGAAACCCAGGAAAATTGGCTGGACATCGTCATCGACTCGCCCCTTCGTGGGTGGTCCATTCTAAAAAGTGTCCTTCCCCCATCGACGAGGCCAATCCTCGAATCTAACGAAAAGCCCAAAAAGGGCAAAGGAATTCGGAAGAGAGAGGAATGGCGTGTCTTGGAATTAGAGAGAAAGAAGAGAGAAAGAAGCGGAAGAGGGAAATGAGCAGAATTTGGGGGGAGGATTTAGACAAAAAGCGTGTCTTGGAATGGGGGAGCAGATTTTAGGGAATCGTTAACTGGAGGGCATTAAAAGGGGGAGGACACTTGGTTTTCACCAAGCGGGTCAAAAGGCAAGCTAGCGGAGACCATTTGAGAAAAATTTCCAAAATCTGGAAAATTAAAGGTGTTGTTACAGTTGTTTTCTTGCCAAAAACCTGGAAACGGCAGGCTAGCTGAGATCATTTTGGAGGCCAATATTCAAACTGGCATCCAGCAGTCTTAAAAAGGACATTTTAAACTGGCCAACTAGCAGCGATTATTGAGGCCGGCTGGCGGGAATTAAAGGGACAGTGACAGCTAGATTTTTCACGTGAGGATGGCTAGCTAGCCAAGCTAATTTAGGCCAATTAAAGGGGCCGTGACACCTGTCTTTGGCTACGAATTTTCGAAGGCAAGTTAGCAGAGGTTATTTAGAAAA